AAAATTAACTTAGTTATATTTTACCAGATGGAAATATGCCAAAATAGTACAATATATTTGAGTTCACTGTGTTGCATTATTATACAGTTGGCACTGACAGGAAGCGAACGATTTTTCTGCTTATGGCCTAGTCACAATATCAGCGATCTGTCGGGGATTAGTTTTGGCCGGGGGTCGTCGTAGAAAATAAAGAATCCTTGAACAATCCTAGCAATAATCCTAATAAAAGTGGAGCAGTCACATTGTCTTAGATTTTTTCAAGGATTTTGACCCGGTTTTGTCGAAAAATCGTGGGATTAGAAGATATCTGCGAGCGTCTTTTCTTGTAATTTTTTCCCCCTGGGTATATGTGTGGGAAAAGGAGGGTTTTCTGACCTCGGTCATCTGTATTTCTCCCTTACACTGTACTGTAGCGTGGTATCCCTCATCTGGTTGTACATAGAACAGTCACTTCAACTCTGCAGAGAAGCTGGAATCTTGATTTTTTTTATTTTGATTGATTCACAAAGAATCTTGCGACTAGTTCAGATTATTCGGAGGACGCCTCCGATTAATCGGAGGGCATCGTAGGTCATCGGAGATTGTGTCTGGGATGCCCAAAATGGGTGAAAAATCTTGCGAGCAATTTTAAAATTTTAAGTTCAAAGTTGGGGACCGCGACGGGTGTGGCGATGTCTAAAAAATCTGCGACAACCCGCAGGCGTCCGGAGAGCGCCTCCGACGGGTGCAAAATCGTGAGATCTGTCTCAAGATTTTGTTCAAATTTCCCGGGTTTTACCCATCCCCGACGCATCGCAACTGATTTGTGACTGGCCACTTAGTATACAGTTTAGGCGAAAAGACGACCCGATGAAGCCTGTCATTAAAAATAAAAATTGAAAATTATCTATATTGTTCTTTCTCAAATACTCATAATAACATCGGGCAACAATGACCAAGCCCATTATCAACTTTTCAATGAATATAATATTACATCAACAACCTTTTAAACGGTTTTTCATTAACTTTCATCGTAAATTGTTATATCTTAGCTTTAACTCTTTGTTGCATTTGAATATATTGACTACCATAATCAAATATCTAATCACAGTTTTTATCTAACCGACAGAAAGGTTAATCCAGTGTTGGTATGGGGAAGCGTGGTGCGAGACAGACGCGCGGTATGCTAACCATCATGACTGTCACACCTACTACCTGTGCACAGACGGAGAGACGGGCACGGTGGAACTGTTGAATTGCAAGAATTTCGGGTTGTTTGATTTTGATGAGGGCAAGTGCAAGAAACCAAATGAAGGCGATGCGGTGAATTGTGCTTCATTTTTTAGCTGCTTGCGGCGGAGGCTAACCGCTACCACCGCTATCACGACAGAAACAACAACACCCACCACCGAGTCACCGGTTTCAGCCTCGGCCAAAACCCTGTCCACCGCCACTCTAGAGCCCATTGCGACAGCAAAGACAGGTAGCATAGCCAGTTGCAACAGAGATAAGCAGCGACACAACTACCGCAACCAGCTTTTACACTCTGTCTACTTCGTCCCTCACTGCGTCTGCCACTTCTATACGAAATATTTCTTCACACGGTAGAAAAGTAGCTTTTTAAAAAAATCTTAAACATAGGTTTACAGTTTTAACTGTAAAATAAATTAAAATACCGATCAGATTAGCAAGAAAAAACTACAAATGGGAGTTAACGGATTTTGATGAAGTTTTGATATAAATGTGCACCCTAAGGAAATGTGAATAACTGTCAAACGAAAGAAAATGTCCTTTTTCGTCTGGTGCTTTGATGTCTTCTTGAAAAAAAGAGTTTGGTCCGTTTAGTACAGGCCTACAATTTCAAAGCGAGTCAGACTTTAATGTGTATTCTTTTTTACGTTTCAGAAACCTATGGTAACGCATCTAGACACGATACAAAGCTTTCGAACCCGCCGCCAGATGTCGCTGTTACCGCTGGGATCGTCGCAGTGAGTGGTATCCTTGTTCTGGCGGCCGTTGGCGTCCTTATTTGTTTTCTTTACAAGAAAAAACAGAAATGGTAATACGATCGAGATGTCTTTAATTTTTATTTGAATAACGGAACGAGAGATGTTATAACAACATGGTACAACAACATATAACGACTTAGGCTGTATTCCCAGAGCTTTTAGATCGATCTATCCCCGCGGGGAGTCTCACTAGATTACCGTCAGATAATCCGGCTTAAATGTCCGTCCCGCCTACTACAAGCTGTAAGGGGGTAATTAACTTTCGTGTCCGCTCAGCTGACAGCCATTTAGCGTGAACCCCCAGGGAGTTAGGTCGATCTAAAGTAGGTCGATCTAATCTCTGGAAATGGGGTCATAGATTAAAGTTAGGTACATGTAGGTAATTCAGGTGTGTTATTTGACGTGAGCGTTTTAGTTTTATTCTCCTCCTTTTCTCGTCTCTCTATTCCCCAGTTAAGACTCTCATAACTCTTAAGTCTGCTTTTGAAGTTTCCATCTAAACAGTCAATTTTTTTAATAAAACAAACATCAACTTTTTTAGGCGCATGAAGTCGGAAAAATCTGCTCACAACCACGACAGGCGCAATGATATGGTAGGTATATTCAGTTTTATTTGATTTATCACAAATTGAAACTTTAAGTTATATGGGAACGACACAAATAACGGACCATAAAACAGGCCAAATTTAATTAAAAAATCGTGTTTTATTTCCAGGATTTTCCTATTTACCTGGACCCAGAAACTACTGACGGCCCCTCTCCCACCTGCCATCCGTCAGCGTACGAAAACCTCGCCTTCTCAGCCGACAAAGACCGTCGGCCCAAAAACCCGGATGCAAGGGATTTCTACACGTCGCTAGACGATCATTCTTCAGAAAAACTACAAATACACGATACTGATGTTGGTTTTTGTAAATCTGCACAGCATGGGCCTGCAAATAAACCTGACGAAAATATGTCGGAGTCGAACAGGAGTGGCGTCCCTAAGATACCGAAAGTCGCCGAACTTCTTCTGGCAAAACAAGCTCTCAGAAACGTGCAAGGCCCCTCTGACTCCGCCACCGATGACAAAGACTCTTCCTTGAAATCACCAACCCTAACCAACCCAACGAAAACAAAGGTTAATGAACTGACCATTAGAACAACCGTTTCACCGAATGCTTTGGCCCCGCCCTTCAAGCCTCCCCGTGCAATACAGGAAGAAGATGATATCAACGACAGTCGTAGCGTTGCTTCCTACCTCGTTCCTCGGCAGTGTCTGTCGGGATTACCGACTTCCGACGACGACGGCTGCTACAGAAGTTCTTCGTACATATACGCAACCGTTACGAAGACGTACCAAAAGGATTCAATCTCTCACAACCATTGTGCGAACTCTGCTGAAACCCACGAGCAGACTCCAACAGTTCCCGACAAAAGAACAGACGGATATCCTCGAGACTTGCAAAATGAACAGCCTGTAGACGATAACATTTCGAAAATAGAAAACTACGTCAATTTCGATCGAGTCCTATTAATGCGCACAAAGAACAATGAGAATACAGACAACATTAAATTTCACAACCCCGATTTTCAGCACGCAGTAACCTCTGATAACCACGACGTTGCTATTCACCGGGAAAGACGTTTTAGCAACGATTCCGAAAACATCTCTGAATCCAGCATTTATTACTATCCAGAGAAACAACTGTCCAGATCTCCATCGCTGTTGACGGATAACGAAATTTATTACAGTAGTGTGTGTCAGGATTATAACACAGCAGATGAGATTACGTCCCGCCGAAATTACGTCCCGCCCTACTTGGTGACAAAACTAAACTGCGAAGACAATGACAACGTCAAAATTCCCCCCACGGTATTTGCTATAAAAACGCCAACCGACTTTGTGGACAGTGAAACTGTCTACTATTCTCCCGTGTGTGAGGATGGTAACTATGAGGAACAAAGGGAGTCTGTACAGAATGATACTGGAGAGCAAAATAAAGAACCGTTTTACTACGACCACGAACCCGAGGAAAACCATTACGCAGAGTTGGACGATGTGCATGGAGCAAACGAACCCGATGGTTATTCTTCTGTCAGTGATGTGACTGGGAAAGTATAGCTGGGTGTAGTCTTTTGTTTATTTATTCATTATTTTATTTTATTTTTTTAGTTTCTACGTTCTTTGTAGCGACATGGATGGTCTTGGTTCTTGAAAACTTGTATAGATCGTCATCCTTGTAGAGTCAGATTCTAGAGCATATTTACTGTAGATGAATTGAAAATTCGAAGTAGAAATCCCACTTAAGAACATGATAATAAGCAAGTTTCTTAAAATTGATTTTATAGAATATATATCTAGTTTTGTTTGCAAGAGAAAATAAAAATAAAAAATAAACTGTGTTGAAGAAAAATATATATATTCGAAGTAGATTATTTTAAAATGTCTTATCATTTTATCCTATTACTCACGTGGCACAAACTCCAGACACTAAACATGATGGATTATTTCGAGAACCAATTCCTTCATTTAACTTGGAGTTTACTAGTGACGTAATGGGGAAAGTTTCCTTACTAAAATAATATGAAGACCATCAATAATAAATGGAATAGCATCCAGATTTCTCCATCAGATAAATATTTATTTTCACCATGTAGGCCTATACATATCATTGATAAACTCATCTTTTCAATATGTAATAAAATCAATTGTGCACCACTAATTACTTATGAAAAAGGCTTTAAACTTCTCAATTTAACATTTATCCCCAAGCCATTATATATATTTATATATCACATCATCTGAACGGCGGATAATTAGAGAATATAAAGTCAAATCCTTTAAAAANCATCAGTTCTGCAAGTTTCAAATCAAAAGGCAAAATGGTTTTCCACTTATCGTGTTATCGGTAAAAGTGCACGGCGACGGCGACGACGGCGACGACGGCGACGACAGCGACGACGGCGACGGCGACGACAGACGCAGATGATGGCTATATGTACAGACACATCTGTGTCTGTACATAAAAATTCCTTTACATTTATGGTCCCTCCCACTGGCATTTTAACAATGCTATACTATTTATACCATTTCTACCTAACCCACATTTTCACATTAAAACCCCCTTTGTTCTAGTAAAGTGCCAGAATTCCAATAAATCCCCCAAGTGCCTGAACCCAAATTACAGTAACTACCAAAATCAAATCAGTCAATATCATATTATAAATGAAGCCTTCCATTTTACTCTGCATACTGTTTCTGGCTCCCATCTTTCTATTTTCATTTATAAAGCTGCCATTTCCTTATGCTGCCATTTTATTCAAAGTGAGAGTGATAAACCCCTCCACATGAAGAATCTCTGTAAGAATAACTATGTAATGAAAGGGAAGCAGATTCCCACTACAAACATATGACATGTGCTTCAGGTCAACGCACTAGTAAACCACCCAGTTCAAATAAATAGATAAATAGAGCTGTTTTGGTTTGATCACTCCTTCAGACTTGATGCAGGGGAGTTCCTGTCTTCCAGTTAATCACTAGAGAGGGTCTCCTCAGGAAGGTACTGTTTCAGCATAGTAGAGAGGACGTTAAGAGATTCATTTAAACCATGAGGAATGTTGCCCATGTACCATACCACACGGTACTGCTCCAGCATACCAAGGAGTCTGAAAATTAGTAGTACACAAATACTCATCAGTATTAGTCTAGACAGGGAATGTGCTTAAGTTCACAATAAACAAGATTTCTATGGCATTTCAAGGGAGAAAAATATGTAATTGACACAATAATGGCACTTTATCCAAAAATGGATACATATTTAATAATGAGAAAGCTAAACGACAAAACATTATGAAAATAAATATTTTTTGATACATATTTAATAATGAGAAAGCTAGAAGACAAAAACATTATGAAAATAAATATTTTTCTCTCTTTCTAAAACCCTTAGTATATTTGTGACAGGATTTGAGCATCATATTGCGGTTACCTGTTGGCCAGATCAGTCTTTGCTGTAGGCGTGAGGTTAGCTATGCCCAGGTTGATGACAGAGTAACCAGCTCCACCTGGTGACTGGGTGTTAGGGTTACGACCAACACTCACCAGGGCTCGACCGATTCTGTGAAATATAATAGAGAAACATGTTAATATAATAGAGAGACATGTAAAATCTCTGTACAGGTGAACAAAAGGTATGGAGTTAAACAGCATTACAATTTTTTTAAACATCTTACAGTCTGCCATAAGATCTAGCTCTGCCAAAATCTGTTGCACTGTGAACCACAGCCTTTTAGAGCACCATCCTAACCTCCACGTAAATACAAGACTGAAGGGCAGTCAGGGTACTTGTGTTAAATCTCCAGCTGTATAGAACACAGTCCTTACCTACAAGCTGCCAACTGTAAGTCTGCTGTCAGTTGTAGCTCTGCCACCACCTGTCTGGCATTGTGTCTATGGACCACTGCCTTCTGAAGCTCATTCTGACACTTACGGATGTGGCGCATGGCTTTCTATAATCAAATATTTAAAATGAAAATATTTATGAATTAAGGCCTAAAACGTACAGGTATACATAAAACAGTCCCATTGAATTTACTTTACAAAGTACTTAGGGACCGTTCACATGAAAAATCTATTTTCTAAAAATCTGTTGGCGGTATCTTGTGATCACGGTCTGTGCCCTGAATACCCCGCGGCGTAATTACTGGCAGCAAGAGCGAGTTACATCCAAAGGTGTAATTAATTCTTGGCTGAATTAATTCAAGGAGGAGATTCTGACACCTTGAGGCATGCGCAGTAGTATCTCAAAGCTTGTCAACATTCCCTGTTGATAAAAATAGTAAACATTACCTTTCCTGAGACCAGATAGGTGAAACGATCAGCAAAGACAAGAAAAGCAGCATCAACTGTTTTTGCCTCCTAGCTCGCATTCTACAAAATCTCATCCTCTGTTGCCGCATCGCTTGCCATCGGATCATGACAGTTGCACTCATATCTGTCGTGTGTATAGCTTCTTCATCTTTTTCGTCTGGTTGTTGCACAAAATCGACAAACACATTTTTCAAAGCAACCGCGACTGCCATTTACTTTCTAACTTCCTACTGTGCATGCGTCAAGGTATCAGAATCTCCTCTGAGCGCAGCCGAGAATTAATTACAGCTTTGGAAGTAACTTGCTCGGGCTGCCAGTAATTACGCTGGGGGGTATTCAGGGCACAGACCGTGATCACAAGATGCTGCCAATAGATTTTTTGGGAAAAAACATTCCAAGACATGACCAACTTATAAATTCTCCAAATTGATATGCTTTTGGTTGATATGATATGCCATTTTGTGAGAATGATTTATCCATAAAGTCTTCTAACTGGGAAGTGCAAAGTCCACATCATATTATGACATTGCTTTACCTGTAAAGTTTCTAAATTCAGATGTTCCAGGTCCACATGGTATGACATAGACAGTAATTTACCTGTAAAGTTTCTAAATTCAGATGTTCCAGGTCCACATGGTATGACATAGACAGTAATTTACCTGTAAAGTTTCTAAATTCAGATGTTCCAGGTCCACATGGTATGACATA